TTGGATATTCATTCAGTCAAACCAAGTGCCCAACTCATGGCTGTGCGAAGGCGTCTAGCTCTGGTGGAGACACAGCACATCACACCCCCTCTAAATTTCACGTTCCTACTGGCTAGTTACGGCAATCCCCGGCCTGGCGACCTGCCTACTGCAAAATCTGTTTCCCGATGCCACGTGTCTCCCACGCAGTGACGTGGAAACCTATTAAATAAGGGAATTTCACCCATGGGGATCCTTAGCATCAAAGATCGTTACATGCTGATCGTCATCATGCCTGAGCTACTCCATGTATCTCGCTTCCATTTTTAAAGGTCCCTGTCATTTTGAAAATTGACTCAAAAGTCTTATTATAGGGGATATAATGAGAGATGATTTTGAAAAAAAAAAAATAAAATCCCATGTTTTAAATAGAATAATTGCAGAATTTAAGTCCAAGAGGAAGAAATCAAATCCCAAGAAAAGTCTCCTGGCCTGGCCCAAGCAGATACAGATCTACATTCAAATTTGGTAGCCTGGCTCACTTCTTTACTGACCTCTCATTTCAGTATTCCTGTTTAAGTTAATTTGGCAAGAAGGGATTTTTCAAGGCAGTTATCTGCATGGATTCAACATCAATGCAATACATTTTCCCCAAAGAGGTTTCTAAATCATTTTTAATTCCAGTAGGCACAAGTAAATGTTTTCAATTTGATTCAATAATCCATACACACTTATAAATGGCTTTTCCCCCACGTACTACAAAACAAACGTGGTTTATGTTTCTAACAACTTTGGCTAATAAAAAATTCTGATTTCCTATCCTGAATGGTAAAAACACATGTTTATTCACCTCTGAATGAACCAGATGACATAAAGAAATGAAGTAAAATCAACCTTTAAGAGCATTATTTGAATGATTAATTCTCTAAATGCTTCTTTAAGAACACATGATTTTTGGCAAACCCACCAGAAAAAACAACAACAAATCACCAAGAAGTCCTAGACTAGAGCTTTCTAAATGTCCTGAGAATTTTGCATGAGTTCCTTTTAGAAAGCAACATGAAACCTCTTCAGGGTGTCTTTTAAAATTCATCCCCAAAAAAGGTAATTACAACACAGTTACCAGTACGTATCAGTCAAGAGTGGCATGAAGATTAGGGCTGGAGGTGGGGGATGGCAGAAATGTAATCTCCTCTAATAGCATCTAGTGTGCTGTAAACTCATAAGATGGAATAAAGTGTAGAAAGGAGGGCTGCAGAGGTCAGGGTGAAACGCGGGTCCTCCACTGGCAAGCATCTTCACAGAACATGGAGCAAAAAGCGACTATCTGGAGAGGAAGGGAGGTGCTCGGCTCACCTCCATTCTCAAAACTGTGTCTTCAAGTCAGTTAAAACTCCTGCCCTCTGCTCGGAGTATCACCAGGTAGCATTCCTGGAGCACATCAAATTCTTGATCCATCAGATCAACATTGACTGAATAAAAGGCAAAATTAGTACTTGATTTTTAATAGACTATTTTTAAGATTATCCAGGGTGATAATGTTAACATAGAAAATTAGTTTGATATTATCATGTTAATATTGAACTTGCCTATCATACATTAGAGCTTCGCAGCTGTGATTCTACTTAATAGCAGCTTCTGAGAGGATTTCATATGTAAGTTCTTGTTCTAACTGCAGTAGTAATAATCACTCAGTGTTAGAGCAGAATACTGCCTTACAAACCTGCTCTGATGACAACGGAGGGAGACTGAAGAGTTGACTATGACTAGAAAGCTTATGGCTGTAAAAACCCTGTGCCTAATGAGAAATGTTTTAAATAATCTCTTGTAAGATAATTGCTTTGCATACAACTACAAAAAGCGATGAGTGTTCCCAACACATAAAAAAAAAAAAATTTGGTAAAATCTGGAACTTTGTAGGAGCATTTAATGCCATGTGCCCTATCTGCAGCGGAAGTCAAGCTATTTCCCTGTCACCAAGAAATCAGTAAGCTATGCAACAGAGTCTAAAAGCAATTATAAGAAACCATAAAAGAACATCAAACATCCTACCCTGCTGCAGGGAGTTAGTCCACCCCAGTAGCAGGACTTGCATTCGCCCTCATAGAATATCATGAGACTCTTCTTGCACCTTTCCTCTAACCTGTCCAAATTATTAAATTGTCTGCTTAACTAATGATGTTACGGTGCCTTTAACACAAGACAGGCACAGTACCACAAATGTATACATCACATCATCTGAATAACTATCATTTTCTTTTTGAACATTGTACTTCAACAAGAATAGCAACTTGCATTTATCTAACATTTTATCATGTTTCGTATTCGTATACCTTACAAATCTTAGGAATTAAGCTTTGTATTATTTCAACACTTCAAATTAGAAACACCACCTTACTATATCCTCATACAGATTGAGAGAGCGCCAACGATCACTACACAGAAGACATGCTGAGACCAGGAAAGAACCCCGTCCCGTGCTCTAACTCCATACTGATCCTCATCCCCTTTCACTCACCCCGGATCATCAGCGTGGGATACACCAGTGGGACAGACATCCTGTTAGGCAGCTATTATCAAACTTAACGCTCTTTCCCAGCGCAGTGCTGTGACTTGCAGCTGGCAGGAGAATTACCAGGACGGCAGATAAAATAGCAAAAGAGCCCCCCTCCCTGCTTTGGATGGAAACGGCTGCACAGCTCTTGCAGAATTACAACAAAACCCGATTCACTGGAAATACACTAGAGCTGAAATTTCTGTTTATAAAGCAAAGACTAATTTCTTGGGAATAGTCAGTTCCATTGCATGATCAAACTCATTGATTAGCAACGTCAGAAAGTTCATGTTAGTATTTGCTACCTGTCACTACTCCCAGTTAATGAACTTGGGAAAAAAGAAGAAAAAAAAAAAATCCTTGTTTTTCACATGTCCATCATTCACACTATACAGGGGAGGGCTCACTGTTGAAATATATGCAAATACATACAATTAAATGACAAGTAAATGTGCACACCAAGTTTCTTTTGACTTTCATTATGTGGGATGTGAATAGCAAACACTGCCGGAATTGTATACCTTGTCTGTATAAAGCAGTCACCGTACCGCGAGACCTGTGGATGGCTGGATGTGATCGGACACACTCAGACTTGCACAAACAACACCCAACGAGATTAATTCTGAGATGTGCTACTGCCGCACACTGTCCCTTCCAGTTCTTCAGTACTTGTACATGCTGGAGGGAGCTCTGATCGCTGGCACAGAACATATTTTATAGTTCTCGCAGCAGTAAAGGTAATTCTCAGAATTTCCATTTGGGGAATAGAATCCGATTTTGTGCACAGAAGCATTCAGTTATTACGATTTATGAAAATGTTTTTAGAAGGTGGATGCTGAATATTTTATTAATATAAACATCAAGTTCCTAAAACAGTTGTTTGCTGTTTTCAAAAGTTTCACCCTCCAGCAGAAGAAATGACACAGGAGTAGACACACATCAAAAATATGTTATCCGTATTACAAAGAAGTAACATTTTTTAATTTCCGGTCTGCCCCAAAATACTGAATGATCATACAACCAAACCATCTTTACTTTCTTTACTTCCCTTGAACATCTCCCTCAGATCACATTCTCATTTCCATCAAAGTTCCCCTATTCTTGCCTTTCCAAACTACAGCTTTTTTTATCATAAATGAATCATTTTTTTCCTTGTGGGTGTAGGCCTAGAGTAGTCATAAACCATTCTAAACCATATTGCCAAACAAACACTTGAAATCTTTTAACTGCTGTATCTCTTTTAGCCAATATAAAACAAATATAAAGATTTCTGATAAAAAAGCTACAGCAAACACAAGGCCTTAGTCAAGTTTAGCAGAATCACTGCAGTAATAGGTAGAGCTGCCCAGAAGCTGAGCAAGTTATTTATCTGATATCTAAGATGAGTAAAATTTGCAACACATACATATATGAGCAAAGATGAGACATTTTTTGTTTTAAAAAAAAAGTAAAAAAAATCCTCAGAAGTAAATGGCTAAATTACACATCCACAAAAAGAAACAGAATGACAAACTGAAAAGCTCACATGAAAGTTCAAATCTTGCTGCCTCAAATACTATTTGTTTTTTTCTTTGTTTTATTTTTTTTTATTTGACCAAATCATATTAAATCTGTTTTCAAACTCCATTTCATTATCTGCATAGGTTTAAAAATACAATCAAAACCAGCTACACAGAACAACAGGAATTACCACTAGAAAACAAGGTCTTGGCCTCCAAGTTCATCAGTACTTAAAACCATAAGCAATAGAACACTAATAAAAATCTAAGGATAAAAATTCCTACTAAAAATCTTTCAGTACTCCTATTCATAAGCACCAAATTCATATTGTCCCATTTCTCATGCTTACCAGTCCAAAGAACTGCCCTACAATCTGATGTAAAATTGTAAACACAAATACGAATTTATCCAACCATGCATTTATTCATAGCTTCTCCTTAATTTTGAGTTTTCCTCCTTCTTGTTTATATTGCCTTTACCAGATCACAATTAATGTCTCTACAGATTGCTACCGAGTTCTCTGTAACTTCACAAAACATCAGTAAGGTTCAACCTCCAGTAACAGAAAGCACATTTAAGCTTTGGTTAGTTCAAAACAAAGCAGAAACAAAGTCTTCAGAAGAAAATGTATTTATCAATGCAAGGAAAAAAAGTTATCTTTTGCTAAGAGTAATTTTTAAAATTGTGTTTCCATTTGTGAAACTATTGCAATATACATATAGAATAAAAACTAATGAACTGTAATACATAAGTTCGTTCTTACATTTTTAATATACTCAATAAGATATAGTTTTAATGTCAGAGAACCGAATCCAATGTTCTCATACCAGACTTCAACTGGGCTTAACAATTTTACTTTCACTGAGCGCACAGATAACAGAAGAAATCACAGATGCATAATAGGTGGTTGATGTAGGAGCTGATTAAAGTACAAAATACATACGAATAAAGAGAAATTAGTCACTACCTTTCTTTTTGGAGTCTTTCTTTGTGCTGGTTTTAACAGCCACTTGAAGTTCTGTCTCAGTTGACATCCTATATCCTTAGTCCTCTTCACACAGATCCAGGATCTCGGTCAGGCTCATTTAGAATGTCTCTCCAAGAGAATAATTTAGCCTTTCAGACACTATAACCCAAACAGTTCATCTCATTCACTCCTTTCGAGTGCTGTTAAAGAAGGAAACAAAAAGTAATGGTCACTGTCTCAGTTTAAAACATTAAAAAAAAAAAAAAGCCATTGCAAGCTTACTGAGGAAGAAACCTGTGAAGTTCTCCGTCTACAGTCAATTGCCCACAATTTTGGATGCTTAAACACAGTCATCGAGTCCTGCTTGAGATGTTTTGGCACATCTGAGATGTCTTCACAGGCTCTAGACACCACACAAGGTGTACAGAAGACCTGTACTTCTGGATCAACAGCTGGAGGACAAAGACTACGATGCGGGAAGTATGTCACCAAAAGCTAATAATTCTGCAAGGACGCAATTCTTAAATGCAACAATCCCAAAGTAAAAACATATTGCCAGATAGCAAGTTGAGATTTTTAGTCTTCAAATGCTCTTTCAATGTTTTTGTTCCCCTACTTGAACAAAGACAAATGAAAAATGTATTCATTACTCATACTGAGAACATCATAATTTGCCACTCCTCTTGCTTATGATAATGTTTCCAGTATAAAAGAATCTGCCTCCATGTAAACAAAGCTGCAATTCTTAACACCCACCTAGTAATTTTTCTTGCAAAGAACTCTGAAAATACACTTAATGAAATCTACAAAATACAAATGGAATAAGGGGCAAAAAGATAATATTCAGGGAACAAGTGACAGCTTTAGGTAACATGTAATTGTTGGGGAGACACACGAATGCACCGGCTGCCAACCCACAGCAGTAACTGCAGAAAGGTGCTGGAGCAGTCTGGGGGAGGCTGTGAGGCTGCAGGTAGGACTGGGGATGTGTGGGCTGTGGAGGCGAAGAATACACAAAGAATAAACGACCAAAGAATAAACCATTATAGCCGGTCCTTCTTGCTTTGAAGGATAAGCCACCTACTTCAGCCAGTCTGTTGAGGGCAGAGGACCATACCGTCCTGAGCCATTTGGCATGATGTTCCCTCACCAAATGCATCTTCTCATTGCTCTTTCTTACTGTGAAAAAGTTCTCATTATTAGCACAATTACAGTGAAGTCCATCTGGCCTGTCTGAACAGCTGCCCAGTTATTAAATAAGCATTTAATAAAGAAATTAACCCAGCATATCAGCTGGTTAGCTGGCCAGAGATTAACCGCAGTTACAGTTATTTACTAATGTCCTTTCTCTGTCATTTAAGAAAGTAGTACACTGCAAACATTGAAATAATTTCGACAGTTTAAAGCACTTTTCACAGTAAGAGCTGTGAAGCCTCTAGTACTTGTAAACCCAGGCTCTTTTAACATTTTAAAATGCTTCAGTAACATTACACTGCCATGCACAGTCTGAAGTGATTTAATATTGCTGAAGTGTGTCAGGGGCTTTTTTTAATAAGCTCTTCAAATCTGTGTGTGTACTATAGAATATTCAAAGATAGCTTTTCAAAATCTGCTGAACTGAGTTGGAAATACAATATACCCTGTTCCTCCTCTATGTAAGTGCCCCATAGCAAAAAGGAGGAAAAATAAAGCAACTTACAAATGAAAGTTGCAGTGCTTGCTAAATATACCTTCTCGGAATACCCGAATGAACTAAAAGCATTTTGATGAACATTCTTAGTTAAGAAAACAGTAGGAAAGGACAAAGCAAATGAAGGTTGGTCAAAGAGAGAAAAGGATTAAGGTAACAGCCCCCAAACTGACAATCCTTCAGGATCTGAAGCCCTCTTTGGCCAGGGCCGCGGACAGGGAGATGTAGCTGCCCCAAACATGGCCTCGGTGGGACACCACGTGCGGTGACGGCTGAGCCCTGGCGCCGAGGAAGGCATGCACTGTGCTGCGAGGGGACCACCTCACCCTACTGTCCACGGAGTCGCTCATCACTTACGCTTGAAATCCCCCCAGCAAACAGGGAGGAAAGCGCTGCGGAGAACAGATGTCCCTCGCAACCCCCACCTCCTCCCCCTCCCCCTGCACACAACCCAATTTAATAATATTTAGCTTTACAGCACAGTAGGGATGCATCGGTCTCTACAGCTCAACCACACTTACTTAAAGCATCTCTCAATCACAGCTGGATTGACAGTTTATTTTTCTAGAATTTGGATTTATTTTTACCTAAAGGTTAACTGCATAACTTTGCAAGAAGCACTAACCTGAACCACTTAACAAAAGAAAAATATTTATAACAGGTCCGTTTATAATAAAAACAAAACAAAGAAAAGGAAAAAAAAAACAACCCACCCCCAGGGTCAAGAGTTAAGCAAGTTTTAATGTCTTAGAAGACTGTTTAGGGCACAAAGCATCAAGAATGTCATCTCCTTTTCAACAGGAAAGCTGAAATAGTGGCATCTGAACAGCACTGAATATTTTAAAATAACAACATATGACTGCTATCTCATCTGAAACTCTCCAGAAAAGCTATATCCCCTTGAGACTATCCCACTGAGTAATATTTTTTAAAATAAATGCATGTCTATTTTTGGACAGGTTCACATATTGATTTACTTTAAAACCTAATCAGGTCATACTCTCTCAGGCTCATAGATCCTTGAATAAAGTAATAGGTATCTTTGTAAAGGAGCACATAAACATCTGTCAGACACAAGCTATAGTTCAAACTGAATTTGCTACAGAGACAATTCCTCCAAAAGTATAGGTCTTTATGTAAGCTACATTAGTAAACTTTCATATACTGTCCATATTTCAGCCGTTTATTACCCAGATGAGAATGGCAGTCAATCTGCTCTTCACCGCAACAGCTTTTATTGTCTCCTCCAATCTAGGTCACCGTTGTTAAATACTACGCTCTTTCAAATGTGGGAAGTACTGCAGCATGTGTTTTATCAATGAGATACTCTTTTCTTTGATCAGTTCTGCCACGTTTTCTCTCCCTGCTCTAAAGACAAAATTTTGTTAGCTACATTTTAAAAAATAATAAATCCATCATCTTACACATCCAGTCTTAACGATCTTCTTGTGTGCCTCATTACTGTTCCAGCTATTACAATGTTACGTGCATGCCTCAGCTTTTCCTAAAGAGGATTCAGAGCTCTTCGTTTTAACAAAATACTGACATTTTCTGTTCCCTTTATTAAGTAGCTACAGTAGGAACACAATCAGCGCATTCTGGAATTAACTGGCTTTTAATTCCAAGAGAAGTCTTAAGCCTGCATTCTGTACTACTCCTACGCCGGTGTAAAACCTAAAGCCTTAGTGAAGAAATATTTTTGTAAATTCACTTTGCAGTTAGGATTAGCACACGTTGGACCTTTTATGCGCAGGGAAATTCGTCACATGCTCCACCCGCCTCCCCCTCGCATTTGCAAAACAACAACTTCTGTCAAATCATTTGTCTTTTCAACCACGCTTGAGCGAGCTCATGAAGGGGTTATTAGGCGACTTCCCCTGGCCCGAGTTATGAAGGAGGTCAGACAAGACGATCATAATACTTCCCCTGTGGCTTTAAAATACATGAATTTATTAATTTTCTTCAGGGCATCAAAACTTAAGAAGTTCCCTCCTCTGAAGCCAGTTTCCATCTGCTTATGTAAAGGAAAAGCAGCCTTAGAAAGGATTTGTAACTAAGCCCCGGCATTCCCTAGGTATTTAAGTTCTCCGGAGCCCCAAAGTGGGATCTGACAAGAGGATGGTACCTCCCACACCCTGGTTTGACAAAACAAAAACCATGCTATCATCCTTAGCTCTTGCTTTTATACCTCTGAAGTTTTGCAATTCATTTCCTTTCCTCCAAAGCACCCAATATAAGCATCTGTAATAGAATGTTGATGCACATGATTTTGCAAGTGTTAAACAAAGCCCAAACATATTAAGAGGGCAAAACAGAAGTGACAAAATTATTTTAAAAGTGCTATGAACCTGCAAAACTGAAAACAGTTCCAGCGCGAAGGACTGCTATCCTTTGGGGGAAAAATGTTACTCATCAACTTCTCATCTGACCACAAAGCCTACCACGGAGAACTTCACTGGGGCCGTACACCAACAGACGGTGGAAAAACCCACGCTTGCCACCACTGCCCTTTATACCCTCCAGAGAGAGGAACCCTTTGGAGATGTTCACACTATTTTGTGTGAACTAAGCTCCTTTCCCTGATGGTCAGGTCTTGTGAACATCCTGCAGGAAGCTACGGGGTTTCAGAGTATTAATCTTTTACCGAAGGCACTGCACTAATGCCAAACTGAAACCCGAGGGACTGGTCCAAAACCCACTGAAATACTTCAGTTAATAAGGCCTGTAAGTAGGAACCAGAAAAGGAGGAAGACAGGGTAAAAGAGAGAGCTTAAGATAGTGACACAGGGGAGAAAATGAGGAGGCAAAGAAAAGCAAACAGGGGATTCTGTCTCTGTATATACTTCATTAAAGCAAATTCTAGAACAAAGTGTTTAGGAGTAAAATCTAAGCAACTCATGCATTAAAATTCTGGCTACCCTGCGAAAGAAAACAATCTCCATTAGACTGTTGCATGCGCCCAGTCTCTCTTCTCTAGTTTTGTCATTTGCCCACAGAACAACGTAATAAACTGTTCCTAGTGATCGTCAAACGAGTCTGTCACCGCATCGCATGTCAATCACTGCATTTTCCTGCAATTTCTTCTACAGGCTAGAGAAATACCAGTTACAATGAAAGGAAGCTTTAGCAGCGCACAAACAGAGATCCAACACAAAAATTCACCCCCCCAGCAGACATGCGGAAAGCAGAGTGCCCGGTTTAGCTCCTGGAGTCTCCCCCTGCAAACAGCAAACTCTCCTCTGGAACACGGCACCCGACTTCTCCTCCTCCTCCCTCCCTAAGTTACGCGGCTCGCAAAACTCACAGCCGCCTCCCGATTTCATACCTGGTTTTGTTTGCCCTAAAACGAGCAGGTACTCCCCTCCAGCTCCGACTTCTATACATTAAGATACAGGGAGGAGATTTATGTGCCTTCCTACAGTCTGTACTGTGTCTGTAGTGGGATACCAGAATGATACTTCGCAATTAACCCTTTTTAATTCTTCTAACATCAGAAAACTACTCAAACCATAA